AAAAAAAAAAAAAAAACCCAGTCAGGCTGACCAACAAGAAAAGAAGATAACAAATTACTAATAACAGAAACAAAAGAGGGGCCATCACTACTGACACCATGGGCACTGAAAAGATAATGAAGGAACATTATAACCAACTCATGCCCACAGATTTGAGCCTGAAGATTAAGTGAATCAATTATTTGAAAGACAAAACTACCAACATTCACACAAAGAGAATAAGAATAAGCATTTATCTATTAAAATAATTGGGTTAATAATTAATAACTTCATAAGAAAGTAAAAAAGTCAGATGAGTTTACTGGTAAATTCTACCCAATGCTTAAAGAAGTGTTACATTAATTTTCTACAATCTCTCCCAGAAAATATAAGCAGAGTAAATGGCTTCTAATTCTATGAGGTTAGCATTACCCTAATGCCTAAATCATATAAAAACATTTCAAGAAGGAAAATTACTGACCAATATATCCCATGAATATATACAAAAAACTCTCAAAAGTATAACTCAAATAAAACCCAAGAATGTATAAAAGGAGTTCTAAGTGATAATCAAGTGAGATTTATCCAGGTACGTAAGCAAGGCTAGCTTCAATTTTGAAAATCAATTAGTGTAATCCATAACATCAACAGGCTAAAGAAGAAACATCATATGATCATATAGGTAAGTTCAAAAAAAGCATTTGACAAAATCCAATGCCCATTCAAGACAAAAACTCTCAACAAGGTAGGAAGGGAAGGGAACTTCCTCAACCTCATAAAGAATATCTAAAAAAAGCCTATAATTAACATATTTAATTGTGAGAAAGTAGATGCTTTGTACCTAACAAGGGGAAATCAATTGGGAAAAAGGCAAGGGTATCCTCTCCCACCATTCCTATTCAAGATTGTACTGGAAGTCCTAGCTAATACAATAAGATAAGAAAAGGAAATAAAAGATATAAGACAAAGAAGGAATAACTACAACTGCCTTTGCTTACAGATGACATGATTGTCTATGTAGAAAATTCTACAGAATCAATAAAAAACTACTGGAATTCTCTAGTAAAGTTGCAGGATACAAGATTAATATACAAAAATCAATTGTTTTCCTATGTGCCAGCAATGAACAATTGGAATTTGAAGTTAAAAACACAAGATCAAAGTGCCAGCAGGACCAGTGTTTGTCGAAGGATACTCTGCTTCCAAGATGGCATCTTGTTAAAGGGACATAAAGCCAGAAAGTGTTCCCTTCAAACTGGAGCCTTTCCTGAATGTGCTAATCCCATTCCTGATGGTATTCATTCAGGTATCCATTCTCTTCACTTAATCACCTCCCAAAGACCGCACCTGTTAACACTGTTGGGGTAGAAATCAGATTTCATTATGAACTCAGGGGCACCATCCTTTAAACCATAGAAAGCAGTAATCGAATTAAGATGAGATCATTAGGAGGGCCCTAATCCAGTACCGGTAGAGCCTTTTAAAAGGTGGCAATTTAGGGCTGGGGATTTAGCTCAGTGGTTCTGTTGCCTGCCTCGTAGGTGCAAGGTCCTGAGTTCGATCCCCGGTACCGAAAAAAAAGTTTCTATTATTTAAGCCACTCAATTTGTGGTACTTTGTTATGACAGCCCTAGAAAGCCAGTACAAAAACCAAGCTCTGGGCCCTGAGTATGTTCATTGCTTCTCCTCTAGTGCCCTCGCTTCTAGACCCACTCTCTGGCAGATTACAGTGCATATATGTACACTAACTGCAAATCAGTCAATTTTTGATTTATATATTTTGAGACCATATATTAGATGCACACAAACTTAGACTTGTTACATATTCCTAGAGAATCCACAGTTTATCATTTTGAAGCATCCCTCTCTATCTCCAGTAATACTTTTTAGCTTTAGAATCTACAGTGTACTTGGTGTTAATACAATGACTCAAGTTTAGGGGAGATTAGTATATTTTATCCATCCTTTTTTCTCACTGTTTTTCATGATTAAGATGTGTCCTTATAATGCAAAATAATTGGTTTTTAAGTCTTTACTGTCAATCTCTGTCTTTTATTGGGACATGTGGTCCGTTGCATTTAATGTAGTTATAGATGAAACTGGGGCTGGAGATTTAGCTCAGTGGCGCCACACCTGCCTTGGAAGCACAAGGTCCTGAGTTTGATCCCTGGTACCAAAAAAAATAAAATAAAATAAAAGTAAATAAATATATATATTATATATATATATTTGGCATAGATGAAATTGGAATTATACTTACCATTTTACAGTGGTTTCTTCCTGTTCCAGGTATTTTATGTTCCTTTTGTTCTCTCTTGCCCTCTTTTGAAGTGAGCATTCTTATTATTTCATTTTTCTTGATACTAATTTGGAAGTTATATACTCTTTCCCAATTCTTAGAAATTAAAGTATTCCTATTAAACTTAATTAGTACTTCTCAATAATGCATGGGGAATAATTTAACTCCATTTAACCTCTTCCTAATGTGTGAATTTAAATTTTCTCTGTATTTCATATTTATATCCTAAAAGTCATTGTTTCTAATAGATACAATATAAATTTAGATTTACCTATGGTTTAGACTCTTTGTTGCTTTAAAATCATTATCTACTTCCAGCTTTCCATCTGGAACTATTTTCCTTCCTCCTGAAGAATATCCTTCAGTATTTTCTTTACTTTAAGCATGGTGATGAAAAATCTCATTTTCTCTCTTATCTGAAAATACCTACATTTTACATTCATCTTAAAGCAAATTTCTGCTGAAAATAGAATTCTACATAAACAGTTATTTTCTATTAGAACATTGAGTGCATAATTTCACTGTTCTTCTAGTTTTTGTGTTCCTTTTGAGACTTTGACATCAGCTTATTTCTTGCTGCTTTGGATAATTCCTAGATTTTCTCTTTCTTTTTGGTTTTATGTTATTTTACTCTAATATGCATAACAATAAATTTGCTTTCATTTGCCCTCATTTTTTTCATCACTAAGGATCAAACCTTGCATGCTCTGGGTGAGCATTCTACCCCTGAGCAAGTTCTTCAGCCTTAATTTATCCTCCTTGAGTTTCATTCAGTTCTTGAAGTGGTAGAATCGTCTCTTTCAATCATCTTTGAAAAGTTTTAATTAACTATCTCCTATATTCTTTTCTCCCATTCTTTCTCTTCTCTCTCTTAGTCTCCAATTAAGTTTGTGTTAAAACTTCTCCCTCAAAACTGGGCATGGTGGTGTACTCAGGAGGCTGAGGCAGGTGTATCAGGTATTCAAGGTCAGCCTGGGCAACAAACTTCTCGCTGTCTGTGTTCTCTATTTCTTGTACCTTTTAATTGTTTTCCTTCTTTTTTTGCCTCTCTGTGTTTCATTCTGGACATTTTCTTCTGATCTGCCTCACAGTTTACTAATTCTCCCTTCATCTACTCCTAATCTACTAAATCCTTTCTTTGGGTTTTTCATTCAGTTTTTGCCTTCTTTTTCAGTTTTAGAATTATATTTGGATTTTTAAAAAATCAACTTTGTTTCTTTACGTAGTTTCCAGGTCTCTGCAAAATTCTCCATCTTATCTTCTATTTCCTTGTACATAATAAGCACATTTATTATAAAGTACGTGTCCAGCTGGGGATTTAGCTCAGTGGTTTCACTGCCTGCTGCGCAAGTGCAAGGACCCAAGTTTGATCCCTGGTACCAAAAAATAAAGTACGTGTCTGGTAATTCCAATATCTGAAGCCCTCATGGTTATGTATCTATTTTTTATTGTTTCTATTGATTTTCAGAATTATATTTTATTTCACATTGAAAGAAACCATGAAAAACATTTACATTGTCCCACATTACAGCACAATATTTCAATGGAATATTTCTTGCTTTAAATAAGATCTTACTGATTTGTATAACTGAAATAAGTCTACAGTTCTTCAAGGTAAAGCAGAATGACATAGTAAATGATTGTTTAAAAATTTTAAATCCAGATAAACATATGGCTTCATTATAAATATCCTATGTAGTCCATTACCGGATTATTTCCATGATCAATTAGCACTGTATAGATGCATTCTTAACATTGTTTTGGTAAGTTGAAATACAGCAGAAAATTAACATAGTTCAGAAATATTAAGCATAAATTTTTGCTACATTTTAAACTGTATGGTAACTCTTCCATATTTATAGAGTTCTGATTAACCTTTATTACCCCAAAATTTGTTTTCAAATAATTTTTTACTATTAATCTGGAAATTTTGACTATTTAAAATCAAATGATTTGTTTCTGTGTTTGCACAAAAGACTAATTTTTAAAAATAATTTGAAGTGAAAATTTCAAATAAGACCATTGGCAGATAAAAATAAAGCAATTTTGTTGTTGTTGTTGTTACCAGGGATCAAACTCTGGCCCTTGTGCTTTCGAAGCAGGCAACAGAACCACTGAGCTAAATCCTCGGCCCCTAGCAATTTTTTCTAATGGATTGTTTTCTACAGTAGTTGGTTTCAAACATATGTACAAAAAAGGAATGTGTAAGGAGACTCAATAAGAAATTACCTTTTAAACTCAGTCTTAAATATTTCTGTACATACCAGAATATGATCTAATTATTTATTCAACTGCTTACAGAAAAAATAAGATTTTATTTTCTGAATTCTAAATAACTAAACAAGTCTAAATTTGAACTAAAGTATAATTATTTAAAATATATAATATAAGAAGTTTAAGTAATGTTTGGTTTCTTTTAAAGTTATATAGATTTCAAATACCACATGTCTGTAATTCAGAATGTCACATTATAGAATGTATTGACAGTAGATGTATATGGCAGGGAGGCAATATATTTGGTCTGTTAAGAAGGACGATCATGAAAGAAAGCATTTTTTTCTTGAGAAAAGAAAATATTAAAAAGAAATACCATCAAGGAAAAGAAAAACTGATCCCCCAAATAAAGAGGCCATTAAATGAAGAGAGCCATCAGTGAAGCTCAGCCGGTCCCAGCACCCAGAAGGAAGCTCCCTCGCTGCCATCCCAAGCTCCTAGGGCAGAGAAAGTGAGCCTCATGGGTGCCAGAAGCAACCCCCTACCCCCATGGAAATGAGAAGACACATAAACAAGCCTCAAAAACAGACTTCCAAATCACCTACAGCAACCCCAAAGGGAAATGAGATGGAACACTCTGATATTCAACCACCTGGACTCTCTGAACTGGCAAAAAAAGAGGATCTGGGAAAAATGAAATCAGAAATAATTACTCAGATAACAGCAAAGATTTTGCTCATGGTGCAAGACATGATTAATAAATCTAG